TGGCGTGGCGCCTTAGTCCCAGCTACCGGGAGGCTGAGGCAGGAGAATGAAGTGAAACCTGGGAGAAGAGCTGTGGTGAGCTGAGATCTGCCACTGCACTCCAGCCTCATGGCGAGCAAGACTTCTGTCTCAAAAAAAAAAAAAAAAAAACAACAATAACAATAATAACAACAAACATAATAGTAGGAGAATTCAATACTTCCACTTTTAATATTGATAGCACATTCAGGTAGACAACCAATAAAAACAAACTGACTTGAAATAACACTATACACCAAATGGACCTAACATACAGAACTTTCTAGAAATAACAGCAGCACATAATTTCATCTCAAGTATACATGGAACATATTCCAGGATAGGTCACATGTTAAGTCATAAAATATTCCAATAAATTTAAGAAGACTGAAATAATACCTTGTATCTTCTTAGGCCACAGTGGAATGAACTAGAAATCAATAACAAAAAGAAAATAGAAAAATTCACAAATTCATAAAAGCAATACACTCTGAACAACTGATAAAAGAGGAAATCAAAAAGAATTTTAAAATATCTTGACAAAATCAAATTCCAACTTTTTAAAAATTTACAGGAATCAGCAAAAGCAGTTCCATAAGGGAAATGTATAGCATTAAACACCTATATTTAAAAAGAAGAAGGAAGATCTGGTCAGGCGCGAGGTGGCTCACACGCCTGTAAATCCCAGCACTTTGGAGGCCTAGGCAGATCACTGAGGTCAGGAGTTCAAGACTAGCCTGGTAAACATGGTAAACCTTGTCTCTACTAAAATACAAAAATTAGCCGGGCATGATGGTAGGCACCTATAATCCCAGCTACTTGGGAGGCTGAGGCAGAAGAATTAAGAACCCAGGAGGCGAAGGTGCTGAGATCCCACCATTGCACTCCAGCCTGGGCAACAGAGCAAGACTCCGTCTCAAAAAAAAAAAAAAAAAAAAGAGAGAGAAAGAGAAGATAGATCTCAATTAAAGAACCTAACTCTTTTGGTTGCATGGTGTGGGAGGCCCAGGTGGGTGGATCACTTGAAGTCAAGAGTCTTGAAACCAGCCTGTTCAACATAGTAAAACCCCATTTCTATTAAAACCACAAAAAATTAGCCAGGCATGGTGGCGCCTGCCTGTAGTCCCAGCTACTCTGGAGGCTGAGGCAGGAGAATCACCTGAACCCAGGAGGCAGAGGTTGCAGTGAGCTGAGGCTGAGCCACTGCACTCCAGCTATGGGTAACAAAACAAGACTTCATCTCAAAAAAAAAAAAAAAAAAAGAAACAAAAGAAAACAAAACAAAAAACACACCTAACTGTACAAATCAAGAAACTAGAAAAGAGGAACAAACTCAACCCAAACTTAGCAGAAGGACAGAAATAAGAACAATTAGGCCGGGCGCGGTGGCTCAAGCCTGTAATCCCAGCACTTTGGGAGGCCAAGACGGGTGGATCACGAGGTCAGGAGATCGAGACCATCCTGGCTAACACGGTGAAACCCCGTCTCTACTAAAAAAATACAAAGAAACTAGCTGGGCGAGGTGGCGGGCGCCTGTAGTCCCAGCTACTCAGGAGGCTGAGGCAGGAGAATGGCGTAAACCCGGGAGGCGGAGCTTGCAGTGAGCTGAGATCCAGCCACTGCACTCCAGCCTGGGCCACAGAGCGAGACTCCGTCGTAAAAAAAAAAAAAGAGAAAAATTAGAGCGGAAATAAACAAAATAGAGAACAGAAAAAACTAAGAGTTGGCTTTTTAAAAAGATCAACAAAATCAACAAGCCTTTAGCTATATTAAAAAAGAAGATTCAAATAAAATCATAAATAAAAGAGACATTACAATGAATGACACAGAAATAAAAAGGATCATAAAGGACTATTATGACAACCTATATGCCAATAAACGGAATAACCTAGAAGAAATGGATAAATCCTTAGCAACACACAAACTACCAAGACTGAATCAAGAAGAAACAGAAAGACTGAGCAGACCAATAACAAACAAGGAGTTGAATCAGTAATCAAAAACATTCCAGGCTGAGTGTGGTGGTTCACACCTATAATCACAGTACTTTGGAAGGCTGAGCCAGGAGGATTGCTTGGGCTCTGGAGTTGGAGACCAGTGTAGGCAACACAGGAAGACCTCATCAATACTGGGAGGGGAAAAAAAAAAAAGCCTGTAATCCCAGCCCTTTGGGAGGCCAAGGCAGGTGGATCACCTGAGGTGAGGAGTTTGAGACCAGCCTGTCCAACATGGTGAAACCTTGTCTCTATTAAAAAAAATACAAAAATTATTCAAGCATGGTGGTGGACACCTGTAATCCCAGCTACTTGGGAGGTTGAGGCAGGAGAATTGCTTGAACCCAGGAGACGGAGGTTGCAGTGAGCCGACACGGTGCCACTGCACTCCAGCCTGGGCAACAGGATGAGACTCTGTCTCAAGAAAAAAAAAAAAAAATTAGCCAGGAATGGTGGTATGCATCTGTAGTCTCAGCTACGTGGGAGGCTGAGACAGGAGGATCACCTGAGCCCAGGAGATTGAGGCTGCAGTGAGCAATGATCACACCACTGCACTGCAGCCTAGGCAACAGAGTGAGACCCTATCTTGAAAAAAAAAAAAAAAAATTCAACAAAGAAATGCCCAGGACAGGATGGCTTCATAGGATAATTCTACCAAACATGCAAAGAACACTAGCCCTTCTTAAACTCTTCCAAAAATTAAAAAAAAGAATGCACTCCCAAACTCATTTTGTAAAGTCAGCATCACCCTGATTCCAAAGCTAAAGATAACATAAGAAAATTACCAGGCAATATCCCTGATGAACATAAATGCAAAAATCCTTAATAAAACACTAGCAAACCAAATTCAACAGCACATTAAAATGATTATACAACATGATACAGTGGGATTTATCCATAGGATACAAGGTCAGTTAACATATGAAAATCAGCCAATGTGATAAATCACAGTAAGAGGAATAAAACACAAAAAACAGATGATCACATCAATAGACCTAGAAAAAGCACTTGACAAAAGTTAACATCCTTTCATGATAAAGACTCAACAAAACAAGTATGGAAGAAACTTACCTCAATGCAATAAAGGTAATTTATGACAGGCCCACAACTAACATCATGCTCAATGGTCAAAGACTGAAAGCTTTTCCTCTAAGACCCAGAACAAGGAAAGGATGCTCACTCTAATCACTGTTAATCAACACAGTACTGGAAGTCATAGCCAGGGCAATCAGGCAAGAAAAAGAGAGGCTTCCAAGTCAGAAAGAAAAAAGAAAGATTATTTTTGCCTGCTATGATCACATACATAGAAAACTCAAAAGACTACACACACACTCTCACACACACACACACACTGTCTCTCTCCCCGCCTCACGCACCTCCCCACAAAACTGGTAGAACTAATAAATGAATTCAGTAAAGTTTCAGGACACAGAATCAACATAAAACTCCATAGCATCTCTATATACCAAAAATGAACTATCTGAAAGGGAAATTAAGAATGCAATCTCATTTACTTTAGCAACAAAAATTTTAAAATACTTAGGAATTTATAGGACTCAGCAAAATAAATGACACAAATAAATGGAATAAAAACACAAGTAAGTGGAAAGATATCTCATGTTCACTGATTGGAAGAATTAATATTGTCGAAGTGTCCATACTACCTAAAGCAATCTACAGATTCAACGCAATCGCTATCAAAATCCCAATTGCACTTTTTACAAAAATCCTAAATTCATATGGAACTACAAAAAACCCTGAATAGCCAAAGAAATTTTGAACCAGAACAAAAAGCTGGAGACATCACACTTCCTGACTTCGAATTATCTATCTTACAAAGCTATCACCAAAATAGTATGGTGCTGGCATAAAAACAGACACAGACAAAATGGAACAGAACAGAGAACCCAGAAAGAAACTCACATATTAATGAACAACTTACTTTGACAAAGGTGCTAAGAACACACAATCGGGAAAGGATAATCTGTTCAATAAACAGTACTGGAAAACCTGGATATCTACACACACACACACACACACACACACACACACAAAAGAAATCTGACCCCTATCTCATACCACACAACAATCAACTCAAAATAGATGAAAGTCTTAAATGTAAAACTTGAAACTGCAAAATTCCTGGAAGAAAACATTGGGAAAACCTTCTTGACATTGGTCTTACAATAATTTTCTCAATATGACACCAAAAGCACAGACAATGAAAGAAAAAATAGACAAGTGGGATTACATCAAACTAAAAAGCTTCTGCAGAGCAGAAGAAATAATCCAAAAAATGAAAAGGCAACCTACAGAATGGGAAAATAATGTTTGGAAACTATATATCTGATAAGGGATTAATATCCAAAATATATAAGGAACTCATACAACTCAATGCTAAAAATACAAATAACTGGATTTAAAAATGGGCAAAGAACCAAAATAGATACTTCTCAAAAAAGGAAATTCAGATGGCCAATAAGCATATGAAAATGTGTTCAACATTTGTAGTCATCAGGTAAATGCAGATCAAAACCATAATGAGATATCATTTCACACCTTTCAGGCTATTATCAGAAAGATAAAATATAACAAATGTTGTCAAGGATGTGGAGAAAAGAGAACCCTTGTACACTGCTGTTAGGAATATAAATTCAGACAGCCATCATGGAAAAAGTAGGACAGTTCCCAAAAAATTAAAAATAGAATATATGGCCGGGCATGGTGGCTCATGCCTGTAATCCCAGCACTTTGGGAGGCTGAGGCGGGCGGATGACGAGGTCAAGAGATCTAGACCATCCTGGCTAACATGGTGAAACCCCATCTCTACTAAAAAAAAAATTACCTGGGTGTGGTGGCGGGCACCTGTGGTCCCAGCTACTCGGGAGGCTGAGGCAGGAGAATGGTGTGAACCCAGGAGGCGGAGCTTGCAGTGAACTGAGATCGCGCCACTGCACTCCAGCCTGGTCAACAAAGCAAGACTCGGTCTCAAAAAAAAAAAAATAGAACATATGATCAAACAATCCTACAGGATAGTAAAGGGATATCTGTATTCCCATGTTCACTGTAGCATTTTGCACAATAGTCAAGACATGGAAACAACCTAAATGTCCTTCAATGGATGAACAGATAACGAAAATATGAGTATACACACATACAAAATGGAATATTATTCAGCCTTTAAAAAAGAAAATCCTGCCATCTGTAACAAAATAGATGAAGCTGGAGGAAGTTTTGTTAAACAAAATAGGCAAGACACAGAAAGAGAAATACTGCATGATCTCCCTTTTATGTCAAATCTAAAATAGTCAAACTATAAAAACAGAAAGTAGGATTGTGGATGCCAGGGGCTGGGAAGACGGGGAAATGGAGGATGTAGGTCAAAGGGTATAAAAATGGTAACTACATACAGGTAATAGATATGTTAATTAGTTGGAATGTGATGGTCATTTCACAATGTTTCACAAAAATTCAGTTGTAAACCTTAAATATATATAATTTTTATATGTCATAAAAATTAAATTATCACAAAACAATTGAAAAGACAAAAAAGTGATTCACCAACTGTGCTTAATAGCTACATATTAATGATGGCAGCAGCAGGCCATCTGGAGCAGCTGCTGCCATCACGCTGGCTGTAACAACTAGGCATGGCCAGGGCTGCATGCTCCATGGAGAAGGCAAAAGCCAGGGATAAGCGGGAGACCCGCCCCTTCCAAGTTGAGGCAGGAGCTCCCTGGATGCTGCTGCAGCCACCCAAGCCATGGCTGCAGACCCTGGCATCCCTGCATTGTTGGGGGCCCAGGAAGGCCTCCCTTGCCCTTGCAGGCATGGAAATGCCTGTTCCTACTGCCTAGCTTCTCCCTGCCTTCTCTGATCTCAGAGCAAAGTTGGGCAGTGCTGACTCACCAGCCCCCTACCGCCTCAGCCCCCTCCAGATTTTGGGCACCAATGAGCATAGAAGGAAACCGAGGGGAGCTGAGAGCAGCTTGGCTTGGCACCTATAGCCTGGGTACCATGAATGGCAGGAGGCAGACAGATTCCTGAGTAGAAGGGGATGGGTCCCTGGTGAGGTCCCACCTGCAGGCCAGGGAGGGCTTGAAAGCTGAGGGTCAGGATGCCAGTCCCACGGACTGGAGTGAGAACTTGTGGTGCCTTTTCTGGGCCTGCCCATGGCCACATATGGACCAACTGATACGCATTTCTTCCCCTCTGAGGCCTATAAAAGCCCTGGGCTCAGCCAGAGCTAAGCAGATGTTGGGATGACCAGCTGCAGGGAGGAGCTACCCACTCCAGGACCTCCTCTCTGCTGAGAGCAGCAGACATCAGGACAACTAGCTGCAGCGAAGACCTACCCACTCCAGGGCCTCCTCTCTGCTGAGAGCTGCAGAGATGACAGGAAGACCTGCCTGCAGATAGGAGCTACCCACTCCAAGGCCTCCTCTGAGCTATTGTCACTCAATAGCTGCTCTTTGTCTTGCTCACCACACTTGTCTGTGTACCTCATTCTCATTGCTCACCCTCTACTTGTCTGTGTACCTCATTCAATAACTCTGGACCCACCAAATGAGGCTAAAAGACCTGCAACACAAACAGGGCTAAGACATGCCCCTTGCTCACCATGTTGTGGACAAAGAGAAGAAAAGAAGAGCTGCGACCCTTTGGGAAGCCCAGATCTGGGAGCTCTCCGAGTCAGGGCTGTGACTCCCTCTTTGGGGCCCTATGGTTCCTGGCATCTCCAAGTTTCTGGGCGCCACCTTTTCGTTGGTGCCAGCTGTGGAAGCTGCTTGGAGTGTGACTGGTCCAGCTGCAGCCTGGCAGAGAACTGGCACCCATGCTGGTAACTGAAGCTGACCACCCCCTGCAGCAGCTGGCACGTCTGACTGAACAACAGCCAGACCCCACACTTCCCCACATGCCCCTTGTCACTCCACGCAATCTCCCTTGGCAGGCATGGGATCCAGGCCAGTAGCATGAGCCAAGTGCAGCCTTCCAGGCCAGGTGGGTGGAATGAACCCAGTGGGCCCAAGCAAAACTTGGGCAGAGGTGCCACTTGGCCACAGAGGTTTCTGGCCAGAAAAGTGACACCCCAAAGATACCATAACATTAATAACTCAATTAATACCCTGTTTTATTATTTATAATAAATTCCAATTACTAAAAATTACACAAGTTTCTTATGTTGGCTACTAAATCACACATCTAAACTAATCAAACTGCTGATCACATCTGTATAGACCCTTTCCCTTTGACAGAACCCCTTCTTTCTAATCCATTTTGGAAGCTTCAAAAAAAGTTTATTCTTTAGCAGTCCATGGTTGTCTGCCCCACCCTCTTCAGGCTCCAGAAGACTCTCAAGGCAAAGGCCAGGAAGAATACCGTATGTTTCATTTCCTACCTGACAATGAGGTAATCTGTATAACACAAAAATTTTTTACATTATTAATTTGAATTGGGCTTCTACATTTTATACATATACATACATGATTTTCAAGCAAGCAACCAAGTGCTGGGCAAGGAAAGCCAAGTTAACATGAAGGCAAAGGCTTTCTATTACCTTTTGTGTAAACCCAAATCCTGAGATTTGGATTAGGGTAGATGCTTAAGAGATGGAGGTGATGCAGACCAACAGCACAGCTGAGAGGGCAGAATCTGGAAGTTTAAGGAAGGAATTGTGAGATTCGCAAGGATAAGGAGGGCTTTGGGGTCCTACTCCCCAGCTCTAAGGAGCAATATGGTACACAGAGTTGGATCTCTGACACCCTGGTTCTAAGCCCTACCATTCTGGGGTCCCAAGGAAACAAGCTTTTAGACTTGATGGAACTGCCAGGACTGGATAGTGGCTGTTTCAGAAGCAGTCTGATGACCAAAAGAACCTTCTCAGCATCTTGGTGCCAAATAAAATCTGGATACCTTTGCATAATCTTAGGATTTGTGAGAAGCCCACCAGCAAGGCAGATGGTGGTGGGGATCTTGGTAACAGAAACACATTTACAGAAAACAAAGACATGCAATATTTCCTGAACATATTAATCTATGGATTGAAAAATTGGCCAGGCAGCTGGGCGCGGTGGCTCACGCCTGTAATCCCAGCACTTTGGGAGGCCGAGACGGGCGGTTCACAAGGTCAGGAGATCGAGACTACGGTGAAACCCCGTCTCTACTAAAAAAAAATACAAAAAATTAGCCGGGCGCGGTTGCGGGCGCCTCTAGTCCCAGCCACTCGGGAGGCTGAGCCAGGAAAATGGCGGGAACCCGGGAGGCGGAGCTTGCAGTGAGCCGAGATGGCGCCACTGCACTCCAGCCTGGGTGACAGAGCGAGACTCCGTCTCAAAAAAAAAAAAAAAAGAAAAAGAAAAATTGGCCAGGCAGAGGCCGATGCCTGCAATCCCAGCACTTTGGGAGGCCGAGGCGGGTGGATCACTTGAGGTCACGAGTTCGAGACCAGCCCAGCCAACATGGTGAAACTCTGTCTTCACTAAAAACACAAAAATTAGCCGAGCATGGTGGCAGGCACCTGTCATCCCAGCTATTCGGGAGGCTGAAGTAGGAGAATCACTTGAACCTGCAGGCCAAAGGTTGCAGTGAGCCAAGATCATGCCACTGCACTCCAGCCTGGGGGACAGAGCCAGACTATCTCAAAACAAAACAAAACAAAAAAACAAAAAGAGAAAAATCACACCAGCTAGATTTCCTCCTGATATCTCAGGGTAGCTGAGCCAGGAAGGTTCTGCTCCAGCAGGCTGGGGAGCATCCACTTACCCATGAAAAGGAGTATTTGGAGGTTCATTTTAGGGGCCAATACCAGATAGTCCAGGACTAAAAGGTCTTCTTATTTTTATCCCTTTATATTTCTAATAGGAAATGAAAGAGTAGACAACAGAGTCTAGTTTCTGTATTGCAGCTGGGGAAGAGACAGGAAGAGCGGAATCCACCAGCACAGTGAGTGAGTCAGAAAGAAAGTACTCAAAACGTCAGTGAGGAGCTGAGGAACTCACCACATGAGTGCTTTGAGCATGCAAAAGGCTCAGCTGAATTCTGACTGGATTTGTCCTAAGCAAAGCAAAAACCAGGGTCCTTTGAATATACAGGACACAAGGCTCTTCTTATAGAACAAATTCGACTGAGTCTTTGGGGAAACAACTGCATCAGACAGTGGGAGCTAACTAACAGTGGGTGTGCCACACAGCACCAGGTGGCTCCAACCTGTGGCTCCAACCTGTGGCTCCATTTGCTTCTATCCTTACAGTCACAGCCTTTGGTTGTATTGGGGCAGTTTGGTGGACCAGGTAAACAGGTACCCTTTGCACAGGAGAACACCTTTAAGAAACTCGCACCTGCTACGCTTTTCAGGTAACTGGACCTCACCTCAAATCTACCTGGTACAAGTAAAACTAAAATTAAGAGCAGAAGAGAAGTCTAGTTTGTATTTTTTTAGAATTCTAATCCCCAAATATTTGCCAGATATCAGTTACTCAGAAAACTTTCTGATATAAAAAAGGCCTCACCCATTTACCCTGTTCCCAACTTACCGTCACATTCCAGCAGACACTGAAAAGCTGAACAAGGGAAACCTTATCCCTGCTCGAGTTGGTTGAGTTTCTCCTCTCTTCCTCTCCTTGTCACTGTTGCCCACGTACTGTAGTTTGGAAGTAAGAAAAGAAGAAACCCTTAAAAATATCTCGTTATTTTCCTCTAAAAATTTTAGGGATAAAAGCACCAGATCCTATGACCCATGTCTGAGATCCAATATTGCCTGGATTCCCTGTTTGGAAACTTCAGAGAGGTTTACAATCACACTTTCCCTTTTCACTTCTTCCCCTCATGCCAGTTGCCTGGGCAAAGTGGCTGTCCTTGTGTTTTGACATTCCAGCTTCCTAGACCCGTAACTCTATCCCAGTAATTTCTGAGAGAAGCAGCAGCTACTTTCTATATATTATATCTTCAAGATGTCCCACCCTGCTTTCTGTAAATTGGACATAAAGCTCTTTTTTTTTTTGGAATGGAAGGAAGAATCATCTTTTGATTTGTCTTCATTTTTGGAAAGAGCTTTAAGGTCTAGCATACTTCTGATACCTGAAGTCCATTCTAATTATAATATCCCATAATTCCAGAAAATGTTTCTCAAAGTTTGTTCCACTGAACAAAATGTTTACTGAATATTCTAAAATCAAATAATTTTGAAAAAACTGTAAATTTTGAAAATCTCCCCTTCTTGGAGATTATGTCCATTAGTATAGTCAAAGGCTCTAAGAAATTGTAAAGATACCAGTTTTCTTGTCTTTTTCAATTATATTTAACCCAGTTACTCCATTTCACATAAAACCCATTAATATCTACCTGACTTCCTTAAGAAAGGCTGTCCTTGAAAACATGGGAGCATCTGGTTTCCTAATTTTCACAACGCAGATCAATCAATGACTCTAAGCTGTGTTAAGGAAAGCATTTAAAACTTTTTAAAAAGCTCCATATACAAAGAAGTTAATCACAAAGTTGTAATAACAAAAACCTGGAAACAAATACCTTAAAAGAGGGATTGAGAAAATACATTATGGTGTGACTGTGTCACAGAATATTATGTGGTCACTAACAATATTTACAAGCATTTCTTAAAAACCTATGAAAATGTAAAATATCTGGTGAAACACTATATAGCATGATTTCAACTACATATAAGAAATATGCATACAGGCGCAGTGGCTCATGCCTGTAATCCCAGCACTTCAGGAGACTGAGATGGGCAGATCACTTGAGGCCAGGAGTTCAACACAAGCCTGGCCAACATGGCCAGACCCCATCTCTACTAAAAATAAAAAAAATTAGCGGGGCATGGTGTTACCTGCCTGTAATCCCAGCTACTCAGGAGGCTGAGGCACGAGAATTGCCTGAACCTGGGAGGTGGAAGTTGCAGCGAGCCAAGATTGTGCCACTGCACTCCAGCCTGGGTGACAGAGCAAGACTGTCTCAAAAAAAAAAAAAAATGCATAGAAAATATATTGATTTAAACGTCTTCTGGGTCAACTGCGCACAACACCTGGCTTTTTTTTTTTTTTTTCCCTCCCTGCTAGAGACAAGGTCTTGCCATGTTGCCCAAGCTGGTCTTGAACTGGCCTCAAGTGATTCTCCCATCTTATCCTTCCAAAGTGCTGGGATTACAGGCATGTGCCACCACACCTGGCTACTAATACATTTTTAAGGCCTCCCTTTTAAGTGGCTTGATGAGCCTACAATAAGATAAGGAAAGGCCAATGAAATTAGGAACTTTGCCTACCTTGCCAGTGTGGAAGAATGGTGAGCTCTGAAGGGGCTAAAAACCTTGAAACAGTCTAGAATAGTGGTCCTCAGCAGGGATGGTACTGCCCCCCAGGGAGCAATTAGGAAATAAGTGGGAGCATTTTTGGTTATCACAGTTAGAGGCCATTATTGGCATTTAATGGGTGAGGAGTCGAAGATCAGAGACATCCTGAAAGGTACAGGGCAGTACCTTAATTGTCCTATGTCTCCTGACTTTCAAATGGCTCTCCAGTCAGTGATGTAGGTGAAGCACGTTTATAATCATTTGAGCCTAGAGCCTAACTCTGTTTTATATTACTTTAATATATACAGAAATTTTCAGGAATTCCACCACTGTGTAAATCAAGGGAAGACTAAACTTTGTTTTATTTGGAAAATTTTCAAAGGTTGTTCACCATTTTGGAGAACAATATTGCCAGTAGCAATGGTATTCAAGTCACCAAAGCAACATATTCATATCAGTTAGCATTTCTAGTCTTTATACCTATGGCGACTATGTATATGGGAGTGAACCCTTGATTACTTCAGTATGTCTTCTAGTGTGGTAGAATCTGAGCATTTATGTATTAAAACACTTAAAATTTTACTACAAACTCCTTTTATTTCCTCTATCACATTTATGGCATATTAATTTTGGTTGAAATGGTGTGGAATCATATGCAATTATCTACAAACTTCATTGAAGTGCAGACATTACAAAATATTTGTTATAAATATACAAATATAAACATTTGTTATAAAATATAAATATTTGTTATAAAATGGGGCATTCAGTCTGATGAGGCTGAAAATCACTATAGTATATGCTCCCTACAACTTGCTTTTCTCCTTATCAAGTCTTAGAAATTTCCGCATACGTAGTATGGGCATACCATAATCTATTCATATATTTCCTATTAATGGACATACAGGTTATTTCTAATTTTGTGCTATTAGAAACAATGAATATAATGAAATCTTCCCACATGCACTTTTGTGCATACGTGCAAGTATTTCTCAGAGGTAGATTTTAAGATGTGAAAGTGCCAGATCAAGAGTTTTAATATCTGTAAATCTTTGGAGATAAAAATGTTTTCTCAAGTTGCATTTCCCTAACACTAGTCAAGCTGAACATCTTTTCAAACATTTTTTGGCCATGCTATTGTCTTGTTTGTTTGGCAATTCATATTTCTGTCATTTTGGGGAGGATTTATAGTTATTCACATATTCTAAGTTAATATATATGTTGGAAATCACTTTCTCCTATTCTGTTGCCTCTCTTTTAACTTTTATCATAGAGAAGTTTTAAATTTTGATATAGTCAAATTTATGATTTTATTTGTTTCTGACCTCCTCAAAAGGCTTTCTCTACCTCTAGACATAGTTTTCAACAGGTGTATAATACTCCATTTTATGGATGTACCACAATTTATAATACTATTGAAAATTCAGCTTTTTCAAACAACTAAGTGTTCAACATGATGTTTTCGTTTGTTTTTGGTTTTTTTTTGAGACGGAGTCTGGCTCTGTCGCCCAGGCTGGAGTGCAGTGGCTGGATCTCAGCTCACTGCACGGGGTTTCACCACGTTGTTTTTAGCACGCATCTTAGTGCCTAGCAAACGGAGCATAATAAATGTTTCTTGAATGAGAATGGGAAGACAGGAACCTTGAATGCGAGTGTGGAAAAAAGTTATGCTTAAAAATGCAACCCAGGCCGGGCATGGTGGCTCAAGCCTGTAATCCCAGCACTTTGGGAGGCCGAGACAGGTGGATCACGAGGTCAGGAGAGCGAGACCATCCTGGCTAACCCGCTGAAAACCGGTCTCTACTAAAAAATACAAAAAACTAGCCGGGCGAGGTGGCGGGCGTCTGTAGTCCCAGCTACTCGGGAGGCTGAGGCAGGAGAATGGTGTAAACCCAAGAGGCAGAGCTTGCAGTGAGCTGAGATCTGGCCACTGCACTCCAGCCTGGGTGACAGAGCGAGACTCCGTCTCAAAAAAAATAAATAAATAAAAATAAAATGCAACCCAATGTCAACCAAATTACTGGGGAATTAGCCCTACAACAGTACTCTTCCTTTAGCCAGCTACTCAAGAGTTGATTCTGCTTCTAAAATCTAGGCGCAGAAATAAAGCTTCATCTTCCCCCATAAGATTGCCATTCCAAAGGGTGGAACAACTACCTGCGAGAAGCCTGTGATCACATACCTGAGTCCTCCTCCTTATCCTGACTTCAATTTTAGGGTACCTCTTTGCTTGATGAGTCTTCAAGGTTTACATCTTAGAAGGTTAAGAATGGACCTAAGAAGAGGAGGCAGAGGGAAGAGAAGCCTCGTTTTCAGGAGCCTGGGCTGCTGCAGATTCGTGAGGCCTGGCTCCAGATCCAGCAGGTGAGGCTCTGTATCCCGCAGGCAGGCCTTCATTTCCTGCAGGTGGGGCTTCATAGCCAAGAGGTGGAGCTCCATATCCTGCAGGTGAGGCTCTGTATCCCACAGGCGGGCCTTCATTTCCTGCAGGTTGGGCTCCATATCCTGCAGGTGGGGCCCCATATCCGGGAGGTGGGGCTCCATATCCTGCAGGTGGGGCTCCATATCCGGGAGGTGGGGCTCCATATCCTGCAGGTGCGGCTCCATAGGCAATAACTGGGAATTATAATGAGAAGGAAAAAAATTCAGTTACCTTGAAGTCAAGGAATATGTGAAAAGGAAGAACTTAAAAAATAATGCTGAAGCAAACTGACGCAAGAAGAGAAGTCAGGCAGAATAATGCTAAAGTGATTTCCTCCAGCTATCACCAATTGAAGGCATATCACTTCCTGTTGTGCAGGGATTCAAATCAACATGAAAACAACCCTATGAATAGATTGGTGCATTACTTATACTTGTGCACAGATATGTGTTTTACTTAATAAAGTTTGATGATGAAAAAAAGTAATACATGCTTAATGAGGACTATCCGTTTGGAAAATAGAGAAAAGAGGAGTGGAAAAAAGTCATCTATAATTCTACCACTAAACACTTAATATTTTGGTGTATTTCTTTGTAGAATCTCTGTGAATATTCTTTATATAATCATGATCATATCAGCCATATTATTTTTATTTATTTTTTTTTGAGACGGAGTCTCGCTCTGTCACCCAGGCTGGAGTGCAGTGGCGCCATCTTGGCTCACTGCAAGCTTCGCCTCCCAGGTTCACGCCATTTCTCCTGTCTCAGTGTCCCAAGTAGCTAGAACTACAGACGCCCGCCACCATGCCCAGCTAAATTTTTTTGTATTTTTAGTAGAGATGGGGTTTCACCATGTTAGCCAGGATGGTCTCGATCTCCTGACCTCATGATCCGCCCGCCTCGGCCTCCCAAAGTGCTGGGATTATAGGCCAGTCACATGATTTTTAAAATCTGGCTCTTTTACTTAATATTATAAGAAATGTTATACTGTTAATTTACTTCATAAATTCAAAGCTGGATAATATTTCATCATATGGATAGATGATACTTTTTGTTGTTTCTGACTTTCCAATTAACCTTACAATAAACACGAGTTTTACTTACTACCTTGGGTTACATTCCCCAAAGTGATTTAACTGGATAAAGTGAATGGACAGCTGTAAAATTATTTTGCTTTAATCCAAAATTTATTACAAAACTATTGTAATCAAGACAGTGTGTTACTGGCACGAGGACAGACTTAGAGACCAATGGAATAAATTAAGAGTCCAGAAATAAACCCAAGCATCTATGAACAGCTGATTTTTGACAGAATGCCAAGACCATTCAATGAGAAAAAAATAAGTCTCTTCAAAAAATGATTCTGGGACAACTGGATATCTGCATATAAAAGAATGAGGTTCCTCCCTAACTTCACTCTACAGACAAAAACTAACTTGTAATGAATTAATGGCCTTAATATAAGACAGAGGTGGCCAATCTTTTGGCTTCCCTGGGCCACATTGATGGAAAAATTGTCTTGGGCCACATATAAAATATACTAGTACTAACGATAGCTGATGAGCTATTTAAAAAAATCTCGTAACATTTTAAGAAAGTTTATGAATTTGTGTTGGGCTGCATTCAAAGCCATCCTGGGCCATGGGTTGGACAAGCTTGATATAAGAGCTAAAACTATAAAATCCTTAGAAGAAAACAGGGATTAAATCTTCATGACATTGGATTTGGCAATGAATTCTTAAATTTTACATCAAAAGCATGAGCAACAAGAGAAAAAAAGAGAAATTTGATAAAAATTAAAAACCTTTGTGCATTAAAAGCCATTTTTGCCTGGGCACAGTGGTTTACATCTGTAACCCACTGGCCGAGGCAGGCAGATCATTTGAGTTCAGGAGTTCTAGATGAGCCTGAACAACATGGTGAAACTCCATCTCTACTAAAAATACAAAGATTAGCTGTGGATGGTGGCGCACACCTGCAGTCCCAGCTATTCAGGAGGCTGAGGCACAGGAATCACTTAAACCCGGGATGCAGAGGTTGCAGTGAGCCAAGATGGTGCCACTGCACTCCAACCTGGGTGACAGAGGAAGACTCTGTCTCAAAAAAAAAAAAAAAAAAAAAAAAGGCATTATCAAGAATGTGAAAGAAAACCTAAAAATATTTGCAAATAATATATCTGACAAGGATTTCATATCCAGACTATATAAAGAATGCTTACAACTCAACAACAAAAAGACAAGCAATCCGATTTAAATAAAAAAAAAAAATACGCAAAAGACTTGAACAGACAGTTCTCCAATGAAGGTATACAAAAAGCCAAAAAGCACGTAAAAAGATGTTCAACATAATTAGTCATTAAGGAAGTGCAAATTAAAACCACAATGAGATACCACTTCATACCCACTAGGACGGCTTTTATATATATATATATATATATATTTTTTTTTTTTTTTTTTGAAAAAGGAAGGTAAGTGTTGCTGAGGATGTGTAGAAATAGGAACACTTACATTTACATAGGAATGTAAAATAGCGCAGCACTGGAAAATAGTTGGTGGTTCCTCAAAAAGTTAGAGAATTAACATATGACCCAGAAATTCCACTCCAAAATGTATATCCAGGAGAAATGAAAACATATGTTTACGTAGAAACTTATATACAAATGCTTATAGCAGCTATTATTCATAATAACCAAAAGGTAGAAACAAGACAAATGTCCATTAATGGATGAATGAATACACAAATTGTGGCATATATGTACAATGGAATATTATTCAGCCACGAAAAGAAATGAAGTATTGCTACATGCTACAACTTGGAGGAACCTCAAAAACATTATCCAGAGTGAGATAAGTCAAACACAAAAGATCATATATTGTATGATTTCTTTTATGTGATATATTCAGAATAGGTGAATCAATAAAGACAGAAAGCAGATTAGAGGATACCAGGAGATCAGGGAGGAGACAATGGGGGAGTAACTTCTTAGTGGGTATGGGGTGATAAAACGTTCTGAAACTGGACCAGGTGCTGTGGCCTACACCTGTGATCCCAGCACTTTGGGAAGCCAGGGCAGTAGACTTGCTTGAGCCCAGGAGTGTGAGACCAGCCTGAGCAACACAGTGAGACCTTGTCTCTACAAAAAAAATTTTTTTAAAAGGCTGGCAGGGATGGCTCATGCCTGTAATCCCAGCACCTCAGGAGGCCAAGGTGAGTGGATGGCTTGAGCCCAGGAGTTCCAGACCAGCCTGGGCAACATAGGAAGATTCCCATCTCTACAAAAACACATAAAAATTAGCTGAGCACAGTGGATTGCGCCTGTGGTCCTAGCCTACTCTGGCTGGGGGTCACTGAGGTAAGAGGATCGCTTGAGCCCAGGAGGTCGAGGCTGCAAGGGGCCATGATAGCACCACTGCACTACAGCCTGGGTGACAAAGCAAGACCCTCTCAAAAACAAACAAACAAACAAACAAAAAAATACCACCTTTTGAAACTAGAGAGAGCTGATGGATGTATAATATTGTGAATACATCAAATACTGCTAAATTTTACACTAAATACCACTGAATTGTACACATTAACATGTTAATTATATGTTATGTGAATTTCACCTCAATTGAAAAAATGTTAAACCCTAGCAACACGTACTTTAGATTCTGAATATTAGATTATAATAACCTTTAAAAACCAAGGTAACTATTAAGGTTATAAATAAGTAGCCTTTAAGTTACATACAAAACTAAAGGCCCATGGACATGCATATCAAGTTCCAAGGAGAACTCAAGAAAAGTCCCATATTTTTAGGGGGTTGGCAGCATTAGGAGACCCTTGGTGGCCCACCAGTAGGCAGTGGACCATGTTTGAGAGTTACTTCCCAGAAACCCCATTCAGTCGCAGTGGACTTCAACAGCACAACTGTTAAAGGGCCCAGGGCTTGAGTCCTCAGTGAGGTTAAAGAGTGTGGCACAGGTATGATGACTGTGCTATGTGAAATGGAAACAAGGAAGTGGGCAAGAGCATATATTTTCTGCTCAGGCTATAAACAGGAAGTGACCCTTCCCACTAACAGGCGTTGCCCAAGTATGTTCCAGGTTTGTACATATCATTAAAAGTAAGCCTGAAACCAAAGCCCAGTCACTTGCTGACTTTGCCACTGGGTTTCAATCTGAAAACAAAGTCACAGACGTAACCATTTTCCAAGCCCCTAAACCTCTGCTGCTGCTCCTGCAGGAGAGCTGGAGGCAAGCCTGCAATAGACAGATCTTTGAGCCTCCGGCATAATTTTCCACCTTCCAGGAAGAACCTCTCTGCCATACCTTACCTGAACAAGGCATCTGTGGAGTGCATATATTCCCTTCCCCAGTAATTACATAAATTCTCATAGAGCTGAACCAGTCATTTAAGGTTCTAAGTGGAAATCCTCGGGCAGCTGGAAAGACAAATTTGGCAAAATAGGAACTCTTTTAATTAAGTCAGAAGTATAGCAGATATCAACTGAACAATTAACAGAGTATTTAATCACCACCTTACATGTGTTTCCAACAATGTTCTTGAGATACAAGATAAAAAAGAAACATGGGCTGAGTGCAGGGGCTCACACCTGTAATCCCAACACTTCAGGAGGCCAAGATGGGAGGACTGCTTGAGCCCAGGAGTTCAAGACCAGCCTGGGAAACATGGCAAGACCCTATCTCTACAAAAATTTATTTAAAAATTAGCCAGGCGTGGTGGTACATACCTGTCATCCCAGCTACTCACGAAGCTGAGGCAGGAGGATTGCTTGAGCCTGGAAGTTTGAGGCCGCAGTGAGCCTTATTTGTCCCACTGCACTGGAGCCTCCAGCCTGGGCGACAGAGTAAGACCTTGTCTCAAAAAAAAAAAAAAAAAAAAAAAAGAACTATGACCCTTGTCCTGAATGGCATGCTTCTTAAGAGCAGAGATTGTGTCTCATTTGCCTGTGCTTATTCCAGGCCTAGCATAGCACCTAATCATAATAGATACTCAGAAAAAACTTCTAAGGATTCTACCAAGTTGGTAAGATATGTCCATTAAAGACCAATGTAAGGCAGTGTGGTACAGAACAGTTTTGTCTTGTCTCCCCTCTGCATCTCTCTCATAAGAACACTTGTGATGGCATTTAGGGGCCACCGAAATAATCTACAGAAATCTTGTCATCTCAAGATCCTTAAATTAATTACATCTACAAACACCCTTTTTACAAACAAGGTAACATTCACAGGTTCTGAGGATTGGGATGGGGATATATCTGTGTGTCCATTAGCAGTCTACTACACTGAGTTCTGCCTATGGCATGTAATCAGACGTAATGTACAGTTTCCAGACCTGGCCCATAAAAATTTCCCAGGGGAGATCTTTATTCCCTTCTCTGTTGGCTGTACAAAGAGGCCATGGGAGCCATGGGTTAAAGATCGCAAGGACTGGCCGGGCTTCTCCCAGGAGATCTTTATTCCCTCTGTTGGCTGCATAAAGAGGCTGGCGGGAGCCACGGGGTTAAAGATCGTGCAAGGACTGGCCGGGCCTGGGCTCCATGGGCAAAATTTCCAGGGGGAGATCTTTATTCTCTCTGTTGGCTAAAGCAAAGAGGCCATGGGAGCTGGGTGGGTTAAAGATCAAGGACATGCGGTACTCAAGCCTGTAATCCCAGCACTTTAGGAGGCCGAGACGGGCGGATCACGAGGTCAGAGATCGAGACCATCCTGGCTAACACAGTGAAACCCCGTCTCTACTTAAAAAAAAAAATACAAAAACTAGCCGCAGGGGTGGCGTGGCACCTGTAGTCCCAGCTACTCGGGAGGCTGGGGCAGAATGTGGCGAAACCCTGAGCGCTGGAACTCTTGCAGTGAGCTGAGATCCGGCCACTGCACTAGTGTCTGGGCGACAGAGCGAGACTCCCATCAAAAAAAAAAGAGGCCATGGGAGCCATGGGTTAAAGATCGCAAGGACTGGCCGGGCGCGGTGGCTCAAGCCTGTAATCCCAGCACTTTGGGAGGCTGAGACGGGCGGATCACGAGGTCAGGAGATCGAGACCATCCTGGCTAACACAGTGAAACCCCGTCTCTACTTAAAAAAAAAAAAAAAATCACAAGGACTGGCCAGGTGTGCTGGCTCACGCCTGTGATTCCAGCACTCTAGGAGGCTGAGGTGGGTGTATCGCCTGAGGTCAGGAGTTCGAGACCAGCCTGACCAACATGGTGAAACCCTGTCTCTACTAAAAATACAAAAAATAGCTGGGTGTGGTGGCAGATGCCTGTAATCCCAGCTACTTGGGAGGCTGAGGCAGCAGAATCACTTGAACCTGTGGAGGTTGCAGTGAGCCGAGATCACACCATTGCACTTCAGCCTGGGCAATAAGAGTGAAACTCTGTCTCAAAAGAAAAAAAAAAAAAAGATAGCAAGGACCCTATTACCCTAGATCATCCCTGAATAACTATGTGGAACAGAGCCTCCTCTTGCCCCTGCTGATTGGTCTTTATATAAGCAGTAATATCTACTGTCTTAAGCATTGATAATTTGGAGTTTATCTGTTTCAGCGGCTAGAATTATTCTAATTCACTATAAATCTAAAGTTGCCCTTCTTCCCTTATCACCCTCCTTGAGGACCCTCTGTGTCCTTTATAGTAATTCCAACAGTAAGTATTTTATTCACTTACAAGTTTGCTTTTTATATGACTCTAACTAGACTATAAGTTTATAAAGACTACGTGTGTCTTATTCACTGCTGTGTTCCCAGCTGTCTCACAATTGGGAATTTGGTTCACAATAGGTACTCAACATACATGTGTTAAAAACATAAATCAAGAGCCCTAACATATCAACTCTGCGAGGGAAAGGGAATCTTTCCTGGTCAAAGAATCAGATCATAAAGATGATTAATAGTTATCTCTAAGGGCCTCAAGGACATTTATCTCACAAGCCCTGGCTCTTGTGGGGGCGGGGGGTGGGGTGGGGAGGAAGTTCCCTACATCTAAGCCATGATATAATCAGAAGACCCAGGCCGGGCATGCTGGCTCATGCCTGTAATCCCAGCACTTTGGGAGGCCGAGGTGGGTGGATCACAAAGTCAGGAGTTCAAGACCAGCCTGACCAATATAGCGAAACCCTGTCTCTACTAAAACTACAAAAATTAGCTGGGCATGGTGGTGTGCGCCTGTAGTCCCAGCTACTCAGGAGGCTGAGGCAGGAGAATGGCTTCAACCCAGGAGGCAGAGGTTGCAGTGAGCCAAGATCGCCCCACTGCACTCCAGCCTGGGTGACAGAGCGAGACTCTTATCTCAAAAAAAAAAAAAAGACCCAGAGCAGTTCCAGACATTGGGCAAGTTCACGTAAGTTGCCTAAACCCTTTTCAAGTGGCTATGCAACTGCTGAGACGCTGAACCTTCTTGGCTAGCTTTGCAGGCCAAGAAGTAGATCTTAATGAGAGTACAGAGAACCTCAAAAGTTGCCTGACCCTTAGCCCATAATCCTAAAAAAGAAGCCCTCTTCAGTACTATGAGGCCAAAAGTAAGAGTGAATTCAACACTCAGTATGCAATTGTCCTGAGTTCCCCAGATGTCTGTAGCAAAGAAGTACTAGACTTCCAAGTGTCCCCTATCTCTGGATTTCCCACTGTCTCTGGATTTCCCACAGCTGTACTCGTCTGTCTGCCAGGATAACCTGCAATCCAGTTTCAGGCTTCCAGATGCTGTCTGCACTCTGCACTACCAAACAGCTGTGGGTTAGGTACAGCTTGTGAACTTCTTGGCCTCCTTATCTTTGCACTGTATCATCAAAGGTAACTAAAAATTTTTCTTACTTCTTAACTTCCCAGAATATGGCTCTTCCAGTACCTCTCTTCTCCAGCATTTCACTGAAATCTCTCTTGCTACCATCAACAAACTCTAATTACCACATGCAATGCACACTTTTCAGTCCTCATTTTACCAAACATCTCTAGAGCAGCTGATATGGATGACCATCCCATGTCTCATAACTTTCTCCTCCATTGACTTTTGGTATATTAAACTCACTTGATTCTCCTCATTTATCACAGTCAGCCCCTTCTCAATCTTTGCAGATCGCTAATTCCCTTCCCTTCCCTTCCCTTAAATGTTAAGAACCATTGGAACTCTATCCTCAAATCACTGAGGAAGCCCATCACTCACATGGCCCCAGAGACAACCTGTGTGCTGAAGATTTCCAAATCAGTCTCTAGACACAGCTCATCTTTGGAGCTCCAAGCTGCATGTCAAGTGGCCTCCTAATGTAACTCACACTTAATATGGTGTAGGGGTCAAGAGTATAGGCTCAAAAGGACACAACATCACTTATGTAGTATTTCTGCCAAAATGTATGACCTGAATATAATCATGAAGAAACAGAAAAACTCAAATTAAGGGATATTCCACAAAACAATAAGTCTATATTCTTTTAAAAATGTCAATGTTGGTCGGGCACAGTGGCTCACACCTGTAATCCCAGCACTTTGGGAGGCCAAGGCGGGCAGATTACGAGGTCAGGAGATTAAGACCATCCTGGCCAACATGATGAAACCCCGTCTCTACTAAAAATACAAAAATCAGCCAGGCGTGCTGGCGTGCGCCTGTAGTCCCAGTTACTCAGGAAGCTGAGACAGAAGAATCGCTCGAACCCGGGAGATGGAGGTTGCAGTGAGCCGAGATCATGCCACTGCACTCCAGCCTGGGCGACAGAGTGAGACTCTGTCTCAAAAAAAAAAAAAAAAAAGAAAAAAGAAAAAGTCAATGTCATGAAAGACAAAGAAAGGCTGAGTTCCAGATTAAAGCACATAAAAGAAATAGGACAACTAAATTCAATGTGTGATTCAGAATTAGATCCTGGATTGGGGGAAAAAAGTGCTATTAGAACGAGGAACAGTAACAGGACAATCATTTGAATTTGAATATAAACTATATATATAGATAGATAGATAGATAGATACATTTTTTTTTTTTTTTTTGAGACTGAGTTTTGCTCTTGTCACCCAGGCTGGAGTGCAGTGGCATGATCTTGGCTCACTACAACCTCCGCCTCCCAGGTTCAAGTGATTCTCATGCCACAGTCTCCCAAGTAGCTGGAACTACAAGCACACACCACCATGCCTGGCTAATTTTTGTATTTTTGTAGAGACCGGGTTTCACCATGTTAGCCAGGCTGGTCTCAAACTCCTGACCTCAAGTGGTCCGCCCACCTTGGCCTCCCAAAGTGCTGGGATTGCAGGCATGAGCCACTGCACCCGGCTGAATATAAACTACATATTAAATAACAGTATTCTGTCAATGTTAAATTTTCTGAATTTGATAAGTACACTGAGGTTAGATAAAATGATGCCCTCATTCTTAGGAGATACACACTTAAATATTTAGGAATGAAGGAAATAATCTTTGTGACTTACTCCCAAATAGTTCAGCAAGAACAAAAGCAAAAAAAGAATAATAAAGAGCAATAAAGAATAATAAAGGGAAAATGCTGATAACGGGCAAATCTAGATGAGGGAAGTTGATCGTAATATTCTTGCAACTTTTCCATAGATCTGATTTTTTTTTACCAATAAAAGACTTAAAAAGAGAAAGTAGGTTTAAGAGTTCAAATCCCAGCTACATCACTTGCTAACTATATAGCCTTGGGAAATTATATACCACCACTGACTCAGTTTCCCCAGCTATAAACTGGCGATAATAATAGTACCTACATCATAAGGTTTTGGCAAGGATTAAAAAAATTGACAAATGTAAAGGGCTTTGAACACTGCCCAGTATACAGTAAACATTTCAATATATGTTAGTCAGTGTTTCAGTGTTATGTCTAAAATTGAACTCATTTCTTCTTCAACTTAGACTGTCTCTTATATTCTTTTTTTTTTTGAGACAGAGTCTTACTCTGTTGCCCAGGCTGGAGTGCAGTGGCACGAACTCAGCTCACTGCAACCTCCACCCCCCTGGGTTCAAGCACTCCTCCTGCCTCAGCCTTCCAAGTAGCTGGGACTACAGGTGTGCACGACCACGCCGGGTTAACTTTTGTATTTTCAGTAGAGACGGGGTTTCACCATGTTGCCTGGGCTGAGCTCAAACTCTTGAACTCAGGTAATCCGCCAGCCTCGGCCTCCCAAAGTGCTGGGATTACAAGCATGAGCCACCATACCCAGCCTGTCTCTTATATTCTTGAACACGGTTTATAGCATCCCAATCCACTAAGTCTTCTAAGCTAGAAAGTTTACTCCATCCTTCTGTGTGTCCCCAACACTTTGTCCATGCCTTTATTACAGCATATTCTATGAGACACAATAGTGGATCTGCATATGTCTGTCTCTACTAGAGCATGTTTGTCTCAACTAGATTGAAGTTGGGGGTGGGTGGCAGGGAGAAAAGGAAGAGCATTCCAGACACAAAAAATAGCATGAAAGTTCAGAGATGAGAGAAAATAAAGCACAAAGAAGTCCAGTTTGATTGGAATATAAAAGGTAAGAGAGTGAGGGGCATGAAGTGAGACTAGATTAAATAAAAATATATAATAGCAGGGCACGGTGGCTCACACTTGTAATCCCAACACTTTGGGAGGCCAAGGCAAGTGGATCACCTGAGGTCAGGAGTTCAAGACCAGCCTGGCCAACATGGTGAAACCCCACCTCTACTAAAAATATAAAAATTAGCTGGGCGTGGTGTCGGACACCTGTAATCCCAGCTACTCAGGAGGCTGAGGCAGGAGAATCGCTTGAACCCAGGAGGCAGAGGTTGCAGTGAGCCAAGATCGCGCCATTGCACTCCAGCCTGGGTGACAAAGCAAGATTCTGTCTTCAAAAAAAAAAAAAAAATATATATATATATATATATATGATTTTAAAAAATTATATTTAGTCAAAGTTTGAAAGAGTTCTGTGGTACATCCATTAGATCAGTGCTGTAAGTCTTGACAGTACCTCTACTCCCCTCTCATGTAAGATGGGGACTAAACCTGAGAAAAACAAAGGCAAGTCCGGAGAGAAGAAAAAAATTAAAAGCCACACCAAAGGAAGAATAACTAAGGGCTGCCTGACCCAAGGAAGAGACGCTCAGTGGATATCTGAGATCAGTGTTTAAATGGACAAAAGACTATCAGGTATAATCAGTCACTTGGGTGTCTGGCTGTAAGCTCCTACTAGATTGCAAGGTCCTTCAGGACAGGAAGGGACTGAATAATCTTTGTGTTCCTACCCTGTAACATGGTACTTGACAATTGTAGCTAGGCCCAGGAAATGCCTGCTGAATATGTATGCAAATACCAACTGCCTGGCCACAGAGGCCAGCAAATCTTGGCTTAGTAAAAGTCCTGCTTTAATTCCACAAGCCTTAAAACCCCCAAAGTGGGCTGGGCATGGTGGCTCATACCTGTAACCCCAGCACTTTGGGAGGCTGAGGCAGAAGGATCATTTGAGTTCAGGAGTTCGAGACCAGCCTGGGCAACATGGTGAAACCCCGACTTACAAAAAATACAAAAATCCCTGTCTCAAAAACAACAAAACAGCAACAACAAAAACAAAAAACCCAAACAAACAAAAAACCCAAAGTGCTTAATATCTTTATCAGCATCACTTACCAGAAGAGGCAGCTTTCACCATCAACTGGGCAAATTCAATGGCACCTCCATTTCTGAAGACTAATTTAAAAGTAGCTTGTCCTTCCCAGCCACCTGGGGGAAGAAATGGCACACACTCACTAAGAAACTGGCATAGCTGACAACAGAAAGATTGCCACAAACACCAAGGGAAACACTACCTGACAAAGCAGAGCAGCTTTTGTTTGAATTTCAACATGAGCCAAGTTTGAATCTTAAACTTTCTAGAAGATTTTGAGGGAAAAAAAATACACACTTCTGAGGGAACACTTACCATATGGAGCTGCCTGAATAGTTCCCTTAATGAAGTTTGCAGCAAATACTGGTTGTTCAACGGTGAGGTTCGTTATCAGATCAAATGGCATCATAAAAGACAGCATGGGATCATTGATGGAGCGTGAAGTTATGAAAATCACCTATGCAAGGACAGAAACTTTGGAAAAGGAATGCAAAATTCGTCCATGGATTGAGACTTACAAGAGCAAGGTGCATTCTGGTCTGACTGAGAAACATCATATTTTCTTCCATCACCCTTCAATGTGGAAAATCCCAAAGTGCACATGTTTAAAAACACTTCAAAAGTCAATGTTTAACTTTTCTTCATTTTAAGGAAAACAAATGTAGAGTTAATCAGCAGATTAAAGCAGAAGTAGAAATTACCCGGTATGAAGTGAGAAACAATGTTCCTGTCTTTGTACCACTAAAGACATTGGAGCCTTCTGATTGCTGTGGGAAGGAGAGCTCCACATTCGGAGACTGCTTCAAGAGACTGTAGAAAACGAGGAACAGACAGCACACAATAAAGAATGTATATAAAATGACACACATAGAGTTCTTAACGCAGTTTTTTTCCCCAGAGTAAGCAATCAATAAACATTAGCTTCTGCTACTGCTATTATTACTACTATTACTATTTTATTGAAATAAAAAGGAATTCAAATGATCTTATTCTCTGACAATTTACTCTTATTCTTCTCCCTCTTCATCACTGGATTCTTTTTCTTGTCAAATCTACTCCTATTCTCAATGTGTGTTCATTAATTCTTATACTTCTTGTGTGGTAAGCGTAAAGCACTGTGCTAATAGAAATGGTTCTTTGACGCTGGTAAAGGTAAGGCAGCAGACTGCCCCAACCCCCTCTGACATGTCCCCTCAGCCCGTCATGCTCTCTCCTTACTGTTAACCTGGAAAACTTGGACTCACCTTATTGTCACTCATCAAATCCTGCTAGGTTCTTTTTTTTCCTTTCTTATCTTTCTTTCTTTCCTTTTTTCCTTTCCTTTCTTTCTTTCTCTTTTTATTTCTTCTTTCTCTCTTTCTCCCTCCCTCCCTCACTTCTTTCTTTTCTTTATTTCTTTTCCTTTTCTTTTCACCTCAGCCTCCTAAAGTGCTGGGATTGCTGGGATTACAGGTGTGAGCCACTGCACCCAGCTCTCTTTCTTCTTTCTGTCTGTCTTTTTTTCTTTGAGACAGGGTCTCACTCCATTGCCCAGGCTGGAGTGCAGTGGCATAATCTCCACGCACCACCCTCCGCCTCCTGGGCTCAGGTGATCCTCCCACTCAGCCTCCCGAGTAGCTGGGACCATAGGCAAGCACCACCACGCCTGGTTAATTTTTTTTTTTTTTTTTTTTTTTTGAGAGAAGTCTCGCTCTTGTCCCCCAGGTTTGAGTGCAATGGCTCAATCTCAGCTCACTGCAACCTTCACCTCCCAGGTTGAAACGATTCTCCTGCCTCTGCCTCCCAAGTAGCTGGGATTAAGTCACCTGCCACCACGCCAGGCTAATTTTTGTATTTTTTGGTAGAGTCAGGGTTTCTATATATATATATATATGAAGATATATATATCTCTTTCTCTCCAATGTATACCTTAATGATCATTAAGTACAATGTCTGCCTTCTTTGCTACTCTAGCCCTAGCAAACAGTGGGTGCTCTAAATAGTTATTGAAAGAATGAATGAAAACATGAATATAGATCATAATGCAAACAATATATGACATAATATAAATGTATGTCATACATTTATTGGTAACAAAATGTCATAGCAATTTAGTGGAAGAAGAGATTAGTTTTAGTTGAAGTAATTAGGAATGACCTAATAGACAGACTGCAATTTGAGCTGATTAAGAGATGGGTAGTAATCTGGCTGGACACAGTGGCTCACACCTATAATCCCAACGCTTTGGGAGACTGAGGCTGGCGGATCATTTGGGGAGTTTGAGACCAGCTTGATGGGGTTTAGCAAAACCCCATTTCTACTAAAATACAAAAATTATCCAGTCATGGTGGTACATGTCTGTAATCTCAGCTACTCGGGAGGCTGAAGTGGGAAGATTGCTTGAGCCATAGGGCAGAGATTGCAGTGATCCACTGCACTCCACCCTGGGCAACAAAATATGATCCTGTTTCAAAAAAAGGGAGAGAGAGAGATACGGATAGTGTTCAGTAGGCAGAGGTGAGGGTAGAGAACAATCCAGATGGGAAGCAAACAACATTCATGGAGGTGCAGGAGCAGATATGGAAAGCAAACTGCATACTTGGGAGAAGCCTACTGGTATGGCTTCATCAAAACATAGTGTGGAAGTGAGGTTAGGAGAAACAGTGAAATAAAGTTGGAAAGCTATGCCGGAACTACAGCTTAAAGACATCGTTTGATAGGCAAGGAGAAACTGTGAGCTTCAGATTTCTCAACAGGAAAGTCACATAATCAAGAAGGTTTCAGAGGGATCAGTTTAAGAATTCCTAAAATAGTTCTGATGCAAGGTAAAAACTGGAACTAGGGTGGTAATGTGCAGATTAAAAGGGGAGGATTTTTAAAAGACTATGAAAATATAGGACATTAGCAAAAAACAGTGGAATGGGAACCTTTAAATGTCAGTCTAGCCATAAAAGCAATAAATAAAGCAAAAGAAAACCTGTCAGAATCAACTTTTTCAGAACTCTAGAATCTAATCAAAAGCTAATAGCAACTAGGCGAATGCTTAAACAATTTAAGAAAAAACGCTGAATCTCAGTAAGCAAGCTTTATGACATTTTAACCTACCCTGGTATCATCCCCCACTACTAGCTTGGCAGCAGCTTTGAAGACAACAATCTGTATTACCATGATAGATACCAAGTACTGGAGGGAGCAGAACACACTTATTTTAGGCCGGGCGCGGTGGCTCAAGCCTGTAATCCCAGCACTTTGGGAGGCCGAGACGGGCGGATCACGAGGTCAGGAGATCGAGACCATCCTGGCTAACCCGGTGAAACCCCGCCTCTACTAAAAAAAAACCAAAAAACTAGCCGGGTGAGGTGGCGGGCGCCTGTAGTCCCAGCTACTCGGGAGGCTGCAAAAAAAAAAAAAAAAGAACACACTTATTTTAAAAAATTGTAGTTTGACTTGTCTGGTGGCTCCTTAAAGGACTGGCTCAAAGGGCATGTAGTTAATTTGTAATTTTCCCAGGATGGATGAGGCTGCCAGGGGGCATGTGTCAAAAACATTTCTGGCTGGGTCACGCCTGTAATCCCAGCACTTTGGGAGGCTGAGGCGGGCGGATCACCAGAAGTTGGGAGTTCGAGACCAGCCCCACCACATGGAGAAACCACATCTCTACTAAAAATGCAAAATGAACCGGGCCTGGTGGCATGTGTCTGTAATCCCAGCTACTTGGGAGACTGAGGCAAGAGAATTGCTTGAACCTGGGAGGCAGAGGTCGCGGTGAGCCAAGATCTCGCCATTTCACTCCAGCCTGGGCAACAAGAGTGAAACTCCATCTCAGGAAAAAAAAAAGAAAAAAAATTCCAAGTCAATGTATTAGTTGCTGCTACCTAGTAAAAGGGATGACAACTGGGGCAAAAAAAAAAAAAAATAGACAAATTGAAAAGCTAGAGGAAAGGATGAGCAATGAGATGCTTTGAGGAATAAAGGTAAAAGCTCACACATATTCCTGAGAAACAAGAAAGCCATACACATACATGTCCAGGGCTAGATTCATACTAAAAACAAACAAAAAATGAAACACACACACACACACACACACACACACACACACAGAAGAGGCACTAAGCTTTCACCTCTGATTGACAATTAGAAGTGATGCAAAAAGGCCTCGGTGCAGTGGCTCATGCCTGTAATCCAGCACTTTGGGAGGCTGAGGCAGGCAGATCACCTGAGGTCAGGAGTTCAAGACCAGCCTGGCCAACATGGTGAAATCCCATCTCTATTAAACATATAAAAATTAGCTGGGCGTAGTGGTGGGCACCTATAATCCCAGCTACTCAGGAGGCTGAGGCAAGAGAACTGCTTGAACCCAGGAGGCAGAGGTTGCAGTGAGCCAAGATCATGCTACTGCACTGTAGCCTGGGCAATAGAGCAAGACTCTGTCTCAAAAAAAAAAAAAAAAAAAAAAAGGAAATGATGCAAAAAAAGTGAAGGTGAAGGCAGAGTTGTAAACTGCCTGGCTTAGTGAGAAAGGCACGTTCATGCTCCAACACACACACAGTCCATCTGTAAGGGCTGGGAGATTTTGTTGTTGTTCCAGACATAGAAGAAAATTTCTGTCAAATCACTAGCTGGCCACTGAGGTAACAGAACTGAGACTCCAGTGGCCACAAAAAACAGATAATACAGAAAAGTCACTGTACAAATAAATACCAACTACAACAAGCAACAAAAATAAACCCTGAAAAAGAGGGGGATTCTACTTTCCAGAGTTACTACATTATTCAAAATGTCCAGTTTTCAACAACGAAAATCACTACGCATGCAAAGGAACAAGAAAGTATAGCAATACACAGGAACAAAAGAAATTAATAAAACTGTCCCTGAGGAAGTCCATACATTGGATATATCAGACAACACTTTAAATAAACTATTGTAAATATACTGAAAGAGTTAAAGGAAATCATGTCCAAATAACTAAAAGAAAGAATACGAACAAAGTCTCAGGAAGTAGAGAATATCAATAAAGAGGCAGAAATTATTCAAAGGAACCAAATAGAAATTCTAGAGTTGAAGACTACAACTGAAATGAACAATTTAATCACTGGGGCTCAATAGCCGATTTTGGCAGGCAGAAGAGAGAATTATTTAACTGGAAGTAGATCAATGGGAATAACGGTTACTACCTGAGTAACACAAATGGGAAAAAAGGAAGAAAAATGAACGGAGTCTAAGAGACCTGTGGGACACCATCAAACACACCAATATATCTACAATGGGAATTCAAGAAGGAGAGGAGAGAGAAAAAGGGGAATAAAGAATATTTGGGGCTAAGCACGGTGGCTCATGCCTGTAATCCTAGCACTTTGGGAGGCCACAGTGGGCAGAATGCATGAGCACAGGTGTTCAACACCAGCAAGGGCAACATAGTGAAACCCTGTCTCTACAAAGAACACAAAAAATTAGCCAAGCATGGTGGAGTGCACCTATAGTCCCAGCTACCCAAGACACTGAGGTGGGAGGATTGCTTCAGCCTGGGAAGTCAAGGCTGTAGTGAGCCATGATTGCACCACTCCAGTCTGGGATTGCACTCCAGTCTGGGCGACAGAGTGAGACCCTGTCTCAAAATAAGAAAAAAGAATATCTGGCCCGGAAACAGTAACTCATGCCTATAATCCCAGCAGTTTGGGAGGCTGAGGCGGGAGGATTGCTTGAGCTCAGGAGTTTGAAACCAGCTTGGGCAACATAGTGAAACCTCACCTCTACTAAAAATTTTAAAATTTGCTGGTGGGCTGCGGTGGCTCATGCCTGTAATCCCAGTATTTTGAAAGGCAGAGGCAGGT